CAGGATCTGGGAGCATACATTTATTCATATTGTCAACAGAACACTATCATGTCAGACATATTCATACCTCCACCAAAATCCTACATGAAATAACCTTAGATGTGTCACTCAGGACAAGCCATTTCTCCCTTATTCAGCACTGCTACCTGGTGAAAAAGCTTACATTTTTGTTTACTGCTGTGGGCACAGTGTATTGAAGAGTAGAATAAGTCTTTGACTGGAAAAGTCTTCTACAACTTACTTCCCTGTGGGTTTTCTATTTCCCCTGCATTGTGCATTCAATGCAGATGCCCAGTTCACATGTGTTTTTTCTAAATTTTTATGCAATCTATACAAATATCTGTTCTTTTTCTAACCACATTGATCAGTTTGAACCTGGCTAATGTGGATAGCAATTGCATGATTATCCACAGGTTCTGGCCTAATTACTGTGGTGTTACAGTCTGGTTAACACTTTTTGCTGATCTTGTTTTTCGAAGTTTATCTGATTTTTATTTAAAGGCAATCTTCCTAATTTATTCTTATCAGAAGAGCCACCATTTCAGTATTAATACATAAGGACCTCAAATCTATCTTCAATCCAATGTGAATTTGATTTGACAACCAGGAAGTTACTTCCACTTTTGTTATGCCCCTGTGTTTCCACTTCCTGCAAAAACATGAACTCCAACTTAACCCACTCTTCGGACCCACATGATTTATAATACCAAACAGGCCATTGCTTCTTATGATGTTTAGTAAGTGAGATGTATACTCTTCCAACTGAACCCATGCTCCTTTCCCTATATTATAGCTCAAAATACCAAGAGCAGTCAACAAATATTAAAGCAGAAATAAGACACTGGACTCCAAATGTTTATCTTCTGTGCTAAACAGGGAAAAGGGGAGAAATGATGAAGTCATTGCTGACTTATGAAATATCTATTACTAGAAAACAACCTAATTCTTCAGGAATTAGATTTTGCAGTATTGCCTATATCATTGATATTTGGAAACATAGTAAGAGCCTAAGTAGCTTAGACGAAAAGGGTAGAATGTGGACAATTAAAACAGGCCAAGAAAAAGGCAGAAATTAATTCATTTTCTCAAACATCAAAACTGTCTCAAAGAAGACAATACTGTTCAAGACGAGAGCCAAATTTTAAACATCTTTATGGATGTCTGAAGACTGATAAAGAAATTCACTGATAGGGCTGTTGCTGATTTCAGCTAGATCGTACTGGGAGATTACAGTGTAAACTGGAAGGGCCAATACTGAAAAACTCTTTAAGTAACCTTTTGTTGTCTTCACTAGGATCTTCAGGGCATCTATCCAGTCCAGCTACTTTCTCCATTTGGTTACATCTCAGTCTTTTACCAACACATCTTCACTCAAAATACACAGTGAAAATACCGCCTTGGTAGCAGCACCAGCATAAGGCAAGTTTCAGGCATAGAATATGAAGTCACCATGAGGAAACTGGTTATCACAGATCATTACATCAACCTCTGGCCTTGTCTTCCAACATCCATGTCTCAGGGCATTTATAAAACTGCTTCAAATCTGGGGTTAAGACTATGTTTAATAACTGTCTTCCTCTGGAAGGCTGTCCAGCTCTCTACAGTAATTAAAGTGTTTATCTAGGCAAGAGACAAGATTTTCTCACAGACCTTTCAAAACTCTGAAATAAGCTCACTCATCAAGTAATAAGCTTTAGAAGTCTCACCACCTTTTATTCCAAGATAAAAGCATACTTCCATTAGATGGACTTGTAAAACGGTAACTGTATCTATAAAAAATAAAGAACAAATCAAAAGAAGCTCTACCAAAATAAATGTAAATGTCATTTTCCCTATGTGAATAAGATCTGAAAAGCAAGTGCCCCATGCTATTGCTCAGCATCTTATTGAGGGTGCTCACATTCTGAATTGAGGAATGTGACAAAAGACCTGGTCTGAAAGTATACACATACAAAGGTACTCATGCAAGAAGAGTATCTCAAGGCATAGACTAGCAATGCTCACCATTTAATCATATTTATTGTTTGACCTCTCACCCCTAGGTCAAAGTTCAGAATATTTAAAGATTTAAAAGTTTCCAAATAATTCTATATTACATGTGGAAATAGCTTTTCAAATACTCTTACATACTTTTGCATGAATGTGCTCTCAGTCATTTTACTGAACAAACCATACTCCCCAGATTTAAGCTGCAATCCATCTTTAAGAGCTTTTTATCTAAATTAATATTGCCTGATTTTTTTTTTTTACTGCATCTGGAATCTTCAGGGTCCAGACATACTTTTTATTGTAAAAATCCTACATCTAGACTAGCAGGGATCTAGTAAGCAAAATTATTATGTAATTTCTATCTAAAGATTCATATCAACTCTCACTAACATCATAAGCCCATCTGCTTCATTTGACTTTATCCCTTTGATTTTCTCTGATGGTGTTGTAAATCCCCTGTCATTTTCTGTTTTCTGCCACATGTCTACCATATGTATTGCATAAAAATAAAGGTTATTTTTCTACCTCCCACCTATGAAGACTATTCAGCTACCAGAGTGTGCTGAAAATGATTCTTAGATGTTTACTCTAAGCAGCCTGCGAAAAGCCAATCTACAATATACAATAAGAAATCCTAAAAGTTGGCAAATGGAAGATAACCACTTGACCAAACAAGCATGTTATTTATTACCTACCTTGGAATGAGGATCAGGTCTCCAGAGTTGAAGGGCTAGGGCACTAAGCCCTGATTCTGGGGCTGGAAAAACTATCTGCCTCTGCACGTTGTTTATTGAATTTCATCCTTTCTCTGTTTCCTGCTTGTCCAAAATACAAAGCACAGTTTGGATCTACTGGAGCTCTAAAAATATTTTTCTTCAGCTGGAAGGATTCCACTTAATGGATGTCACATTTGTGGAGATTGACATTATTTGAGGCAGTGGATATCTTCATTCTACAGTGCTCCTACAACACACTGGATGGCACAAAACCAGGACTATCTGTGATCTCAGATTTCTTATCAATTCCTTCCTTGAAACATTCATACAAACACGGCATTCAATATTCTTTATAAAAGTGCAGGTTCTAAGCATTCTTTCTTAAAGGTGTCTATTGCTCGTCGTAAGTGTATTCAAAATACAGAACTAAAATGCGTGATTTCTTTGGGTAAGCCACTAAAGAAACATTTTTTTGGTTATGTCCTGAACGGCAAGCTCAGAAGTGTGCAAAACCACAAAGAGAGCAAATTCTTTAAATAACAAATGTGTACATTTTTTGTTTGTATGTAGCTCTTCATGTCAAAAAATAATCCTCTTGCTTTGGTGAGATAAATCTGATGACACAGTCTTGAAATATATTTTTGCTCTATGCCACTTTTATCTCCTTTGTAGCATTCTCTAATGTGACTGCCAGAATGCTGTTCTAATTTGGAGGATAATTTTCTATATGAGAACTGACAGAATGAAAATAAATTCAAAGTTCCAGGAAATAATGAGTTCCTGATTATGTGTCTGATTACTGTCAGCTCAAGGAATGTACAGGCTTCAGAAATGGAGGAGACCACTTTTGCTTTCACCAAACTGGGAGCCTTGATTTGATGGCAGAGGGAGAGGGCTTTCAAGTACTTTTAAATCCTCCCCAGTTCTACATGAGAGTTATTTTGAGGTCATGATCACGTTTCTAGACTGGATAAGATTCTCTGGTAAAGACATCTGAGTCTTATCTGCCTATTTCTGGCTTTGTTTGAGAATGTTTATATTATTCAATGTGGGAGACTTGAACTCATGACAAGGAACATGATAAATTTTCTTAATCAAACTGGGTATCAAGAGGTGGTCTGTCATCATTTCCCTTTTGTTGCACTGTGAAAGAAAGCAAATAAGGAGCATCTAATGTGATCCCCACTTCTGTTTCAAGTCTCCCCATCAAACCATTAAACATTCTCTGGCCTTTGTCAACAGCCTGGTAAACATCCAGAGAGAATCAGAATAAAATAGTTTATTTAACATTCCTCTCCTCCAACTGCTGATTAGGATAAATAGTTTGGATAAAAAGCCTATCTGATCCAAAACTCACAAAAAGAAAGGATTCAGCTATCAGCAAAGTTTAGATTTGGTTTCAAATATTTTTAAACAGCAAAAGAGTTTTTTGTGCTCTTTGATATTTTCTCAATCCTCAGCACATCATGTTAGCACTGTGTCAAAGCAAAACATCAACATCAAATGATCACTGGGTAAACTCCAGTGAACTGGAGTAAAAGGCTGGAGGCTGAAATTCCAGGCACAATATAAAATCTGGAACGGCGCCAGAACAGAGTTCTTTTTAAACTCCCTAAAAGGCTGAGGAATTGATACCTAGCAAATCCCTTCATTGACCTAATAGTTTGGCAATTGCTAATTCTGGTCAGACTGATGAGCCCTTTGAGCCAGGATCATTTCCTCTGACAGGGAAAAGTGTCAAATGATTCAAAGAAAAACATAATCTTCTTCCTCTGGCCACCATTGTGCTCATCCATAATGAAAACAAAGCAACACTATGCCTAACAGAAAGCATGTACCTAGCACACAGAAACTTGCGGTCAGCTCAGGAAGTGAAATAGAAGAATTCAGAACTTGTTTATATTTTAATCCTGGACAAAGTGATTTTGTAATCCTGATCTCCTTGCATTGAAATACTGGGGGATGGAATACTCCCCAGCAGTTAATTATGTGCTCTGACAATACTTCTCTATAATAATGTTGTTGCCATTTATGTTTGCCAACTGTCCTACTGATCTTATATTATACCACAGTAAACAGAAACAGCCGAATTATCTTAACAACCTTCAGAACTATCATGTCAGACGCTTAGCTGACACAGGTTAGAATAGCTCTGTTGCATTCAATCATCATTTTAAACACTGAATGCCCATTCTTTGTGTTCGAGTTCCGTAAGAAACAGTCAGTCAACAGTTACTTTTTATTGTATGTCTGATATGTTTAATATCTTTTAAACACTGGGTCAGATCATCAGTTACCATAAATCAGCAAAGCTGAAGTTACTGTATCAGTTTACACAACTTAGAATGTTGCCTGTGGCTTTCCCACAGTAATAAAGTTAGACCACATATCCACTTTGGTGAAATATTTGAAAATATCCAAACAATCTGCATCCTTAGCTCCCTTTAACAGGAATTAGGGATAATCTTATCCATCTATCTGTTGGGTAATTTCTATTTGCAAACCACAGTTCCCCACAGTGCACATACACACATCAAAGTGATAGAAGGCAAGAAAATGCCACAAATGAAGTCCACAAAGGAATGTTTTAATATATATATATTCTTTTGTCAAGAAACTGTAACCACAGAATGTGATAACACCATGACTGAACTTAAAATTGTGAACTCACTTCTAATCTTTTAAAATGTATACTTTTAAATTTCTCTTGAGAAAAAGTTTCACAATTTTGGCACATTAAATAATAAATAGCTTTAGATTTCATGGTTAATATACTAGTAAAACATAATAATAGAATAACTTATGAGTCAAGAAGCAGACAAAAATAAGTCAATTTTCATTTTTACTATTGTCCATGAAAAGAAAATTAAGATAAGCTTTTTCAAAACCACTTTTAGGAAGAGGCTACATAACTGTAGCAGTTGAGTGAAGCAGGGAGTTTACCACTAAATTCACCACTGAAAATAATGTTCTTCAAGTAACTGTGAATGCATGCTGCACAAATGATCTAGTATCCTACACCACACACAGAAGTGGAGTCTCTTTAAAATCTTACAACTTTATCAATAGTCTGAAAAATATTCATGATTTTCCTGAAAGCTACAGCTAATTTCTTTATTTTATTAGGTCCCTCTTTTTTACACGGTTTAGGAGAGCTGGCTGAAAAGGTGATCAGAACAAACTGAACAAACGCTGGAACCAGAATCAGAAACAGAGAAATGCCTTCTCCTAAAAAGTCATGTTTGAAAGACCACCATTCTCACAACACCAGGGAGCGCTAAGGAGTGTTTCACCAGGATGGAGACCCCAACAACTGCTGGCTACTTCATGCAAAGAATTTTGTGCATGTACTTTAAAGTAAGGCCTGTTAAATAAATGTATGAGGACAGCGTATTCTCATTGCAATGAGAGTATGCATTAAAGACCCATTCTGTTATTTTGACATCAATTCTGAATCAGAGTGAAACCAAAAACATTATTCAAGAAATATGAAGTTTGAAACTTCTCACTTCATAGTTTCCCTCCTGTACTTCAGCATTTAATTTCACAAACTACTGCAAGACTGTCCCAAGGCAGCTCAGCCACATGAAAACAGCATAGCATATCACATGAGGATGGGCACAAAGAAAATGAGGGAACTCCAGCTCATCACTACAGCTCATCCTGGTGAACTGGGGAAAGAAAAAATAAATAAATAACAGAATCTAACAAATTAATAAGGGGAAAAAGAAATCAAATTAGTTATCCTTCTTCTTAAAACAGAGGAAAAATAATTTTGTTCATCATTTCTGCTCTAACATTTGTGTTCACCCCTCCTATTCACCCTCTTACAATTGAGACTTTAACAATAAACACTGAGTTTAAAAAACAACACAAAACTTCCATGATCATATGGTTTGTTTGCATTTTTTCAGCTAGTACCATTCATTAGAGTGGACCTAGGAGGAAAAAGAAGCAGTAGCTGTATGCTGCCACTAAAGGTGAGGAATGCCATGAAACAGCAGTAGCGTGCAGAGAGCAGGAGAGAGGAAGCCAGGTATCATTTCTTATCTGCAGAAGTCAGCCTGGAGTTGGATTTCCTGGATAACATGAAAAAAGTGCTTGATTTGTTGTTGTTGTTGTTTTTTGTTTGTTTTGTTTGTGAAGTGTTTTTTTTTTTCCCTTTTTGCAAAAAGGCAAATATGGTTTGAATACAGAAAAAGCTCTAAGCAGCAATACAGAAAATGCTAGTTAAATTTGGTTTGTCTGGTTTGGAACTGGTAGCCTGGACAGAGTTCATTTTAAATTGTTGAATGCCATCTGTAAAATGATTCCGTATGCATAAAACAACTTTGGGGAAAGGGAAAAAGAGAGAAGAATTGACCAGTGGAATCCCTTGTGAAAGTATGTCTAAAAATACTGAGGTTTAACATAAACCGAAAGAAAAAAAAGCCAGGAAATTCTAACTTAAACCTAACAACTCCATCCTGAACCCATGCTGCTGAGAAAAATAAAAGGAACAATGCTGAGATTTCAGAACAGATCTGCACCTTTAACTGAGCTTCCTGGTTCCTCTCCCTTTGTTAAACATTTCTAATGTTAACATTTAAATAGTTAACAGCATTTGTGACTGCTCCTAAACAATAAGTTTTGCAGCCATACTATAGGGTAAGTTCATTTGCTGCAGGCAAAGCACTGGGTTTAAGCACTTTTCATGATGTTTCTTGTGTAAACAAACATCAGTGAAGCTTTGTGAAGGTTCTTTTTTATGGCAGTTTCTTAATATCCTGCCATACCTAAGTAAATGAGGGTTTTTTCCAGGTTATCTCCTTGGGATGATGCAGTATTTTAAATATTATGAAAATTCATAAAATTATTGAGTAATAATTCTATTTGTATGCCAAAATTATAATCTGTTCATTATTTCTACTTAGTTTGTTGGCATTTTCAGTTGTTAGTGATTTGCTGTTTGACCCTGGATATGATACAGGCACAAATGTCCTCCTGCAATGTGCTTATATGTGATATTTAGATTATATTTATGATACTGGCATTTATTTTGCAGAATATTTGTTTTCCTTTCTAATGATTATTTCACACTCAGAGAAAAGAAAGCATAAAGTTTGCTCAATCAGATGAGATGCGTATTTTAAAATTGTCTAATAAAAGTGATACTGCTCTTGCTTATATTCTGGTTTAGAAACAACACACATCCAGTCAGAAGACTGATGTTAAACCATGTTATTCTTCTGCCAGTCAAGAAGAAGCTATATTATTATGCAATATGGGTTTCCAAATTCATACTGCACACCGCAGCTTGGATTTTATCAACTGAATACGTTTATATCCATCTACAAAAGTTCACATCATTTCCTTTGGGATACTGAAAGCATAAAATGACCAAATATTATTTGTCTGAATTATCTGCTGATTTGCCCTCAACTCCCACCAGTGGCTAAGTCCTTCCCACAAGACATAGCTTTTTTCCCAAAGCACATGTCCATGAAAGACGACTTTTAATTACTCTTTGATCAACATTGAAGAACCTGAATATTTGTTTGCTTCATGCACTGATTTTTTAAAAACTTGTTTTTCTTCTGATTTGCCCACCTGTTTGCTATTATGCTGAGTTCAGTGTAGGTCTCAATGAAAACATTTCTACTGTTGGCTGACCAAATGGACACTGATTGTATAACAGCTGCATTTTGATAGGTGTAGGAGATGAGCCTGTGGAAAATGTGGCAATGTGTTTAGCAGACTTAAAAAAAAAAAAAAACAACAAAAAAAAAACAACAAACATAAAACAGTGCTTTGTTCAAAAGCAGGCACTCAGGATTATTATGGTTATTTATGTTTTATTGGGATAGGCAATGTATGGATATTAAGCATAAGAAAGTCTCTTTACTGAAAGTAAAGTAGGCAATATAACCCTGAAACAGGGCAGAATGCAGCATTGGAGGCACACATTATTTCAGTCCCATGCTTTTGGAAGGACTGAGTAGTTAAGATCGGTAGGAACTGAGTGTAGAAAACAAAGCAAATAAAAGATGATAAAGGCATATGTGAAAAGACTGTGAGAGGATCGGAGGAAGCAAGACAAATTTGGAGCTAGCAGTCTATTTGCTTAGTGAGAGAATCTAGTCAAAAACCTTGATATTTTCAGCCAAAATCATCATCATCTTTGTTTTGTTAGGTTTTCTTAGTAAGTATAAGCAAATGCTGCTAAATTGCTATACTGAAGAGCAAAAATATTTTCAGATACAAAAGCCTCACATCTATCTACCAAGTGTGGGACATCTATCTACCTCCAAGTGTGGGACAAATGTGATCCAAAGGTGGAACAAATTCCACAAAAGAAAAGAGAAATTATACATTCCAGAAGTCTTTCAATGTATCATAGTGGCATCTAGTGAGCAAAGCATCGGTTTCTATTGGGAAGAAATTCAAATGTGGTATTGAACACTGAATTAGCTAGAAAAGCAACTCAGAGGAGCTAAAAACACCTCCAGTAATTAAAGGACGAATCACAGCTCTTACCAGAAACTACATCACATGAAAAATTAACAGGTAGGTTTCACCATAATAAAGAATGTAAGAAATGGAAACATTCCTGGGCCACACTACTTCTGCTCTGCCAGCAAATTATATATAAAAATAAAAAAATAAAAATAAAACAAACTCCATCTCTTCCACGTTCCCAGTGGCTTATTTAGCAACTTCTCTCTGCCTACATAGAGAAAGAGGACTGTATTTTCACAGATGGTAATAAGTGACTCTTCTGCCAGAATCTGGCAACTGCTGCCCCATATTGGAAGATCTGGGAACTCTAACTGCAGCAAATTGTGCAAAATGTATGCTATATACAGCACAGTTTGTCTTGTAAAGTAGCAAGGTATTCAAATAAAGGGAACTGATTCACGTAACAGTTTGGAGAAAATTCTACAACAGATGCAAGTACTGGTTCAAACCTCTTTCTCAAAATGCTGAAATATCAGTACAGACATTTGCATGATCTTATAGCTAAACATGAGACAGTGTAGTGAATATACAGTCTTCCTGAGAATTCTTATTCATCCTTGGACATTTGGAGTCCTGAAGCTGCGGACCCACCCAGTTCCATGTGAATATATAGAATTATTCCATGCTTATGTACTACAGCACACAGATTGAAATGTGCTTTTCAGTTCCACCATATTGACCATATTATGCAGATGGGGTGATTAAAAAAACATTGCAAACCAAAAGCAAAGCAGAGAATCTTGTTGTAAAAATGTACAAAATTACAGTTAGGGCTTGAAGTCCAGATTACAATTATATTCCTTTCTGCAATAATTGGAAGGTTACCTTGAAAATAAAGGAATACAGTTATTCTGTAGCAAAATGATTTAGAAAATATTTCTTTTTGTGTTCTGCCAGTGGTTTTCCAGGTATTTAACAAACAATTTATCAGCTGCCTTTTACACACAGGGAATTTAAGATGAACATCAGCTATTTCCTCAGGTTCATAACACAGAGTTTTGGCAAAGCTGGAATAGTTCCCATTTCTGCTTTTCATACATAAGCATGACAGTGGTTGACCTGGCAGCTCATCTGAACTAGTCTTGATTAGTTTTTTTAGCTTTTAGTTTTGTGTTTTCCTAGTATCTGCTGGGTTCTAGCTCTGCTTTCTTCCTGGAATCAGAGGAAAGAAAGAAAGCAATACAGAAAAAAAAAAAACCAACAAAACAAGCAAACAAGGAAACTCTAAACATATCCAGTTACCTTTCTGGTTTACATCACCCAACATGTTACCATTCTGCTGAAGGTCTGCATGTGAAGGACCCACTTTCCTTTCAGCCCTGAGGCAACGATTGAAACATAATGTACTCCAATGAGCAAAGCACACCTTTGGAAGTTTTGGAATAGCTATTCTGGAACTTCTCATTTCAATCTATTTTGAATAGATTTCAAACTATAGATAATGAGATCGGCTGTAGTAACAGAAGCTCTAACATTCCGCAGGTGGAACACAGGACTGTAAACCTGGAAAATCGCAAACTTGCCTAACATCTAAATACAAAGGATGAAGTCTGTGCCTTACTGAGATGGTTAGGAATTTTTGTTGCCACAAAGATATTCTCAAGAGCTTAATGTCAGTGCAGTGCAATGACAAAAAAAAACAAACAAACAAACAAAAAAAACCAACTTTCTTTGGATGTCTAAAACTGAGAGTATTAAGCAATGAAGAAAGAGTAATCCAGCTTCTGTTTTGCACAGCACTAATAGGGCAAGTACTTGACCATACTTGTGTCTGAGCTTTGGTGATAGTGGCAGATCCTGGAGTTCAAAGGAGGGTCACAGAAATGATACAGGGCCTGAAAAACAAGGCATAAGGAAAGCTTCGCTAGTGCAGACTGCAGGAACATGCAGGGAGAAATTCGGCAAAGTAATAAGAGCTTTTCAGCCTTTTTCACGAGGATTTTACAAGACTTTTTCTGAACACTCACTTTGAAAAATTCAATCCCTAGATATGACAGTAGCTTAACAGTGAAGATAATTAAACATAGGGAAAGTCAGGGACTAAGGAATCAGGTTTCTAAGGTGAAACTATCTCTCTAACAAAGTTTTTGCTTTCATTGAGCTTTAAGGAAAATTTCTTTGGCCTCTTCTTCCACAGACAAGTATGTTCATATAGAAGAAGAGGCAGTGAGAG